GAGTGGGCTTCTTCACCGTCTTCTCCAGCTCGATTGTGCGACGCATCATGGCGACTGCGTCAGCGGGGTTTTCCTCCACGCTGGCGCGTCCCAAGCGCTTGACAGCCTTCTCGGCGTCGGCCAGACGGCCCTGGCGTACGAGCCACCAGGGGGATTCGGGCGCAAAGTAGAGTAGGAGAGCCAGAGGAGTGGGAAACATCCACTGCAGTGCAATGGGAACTCTGAGAGAGATGGTCAGTACAGTACTCGCTCGAACTTATCGGTAGGAGCAGACAAACCTGTAGGCCGAGGAGTCATTCTTGGATTGGTAGTGGTAAGTGATACCGCCGACGATGATGGAGCCAATGGCCCAGAACATCTGCAACATCTGCGTCGCTGGCGCTCTCAGTCTCATCGGCACAATCTCGGCGCAGTAGGCGGGTGCATTGGCGATAAAGATGCCCCACGGGATGCCTTCCAGGATCTGGGCGGCGAAGAACATCCCCTGGCTGTTGCCGAAGTAAAAGATGAAGATGAAGGCGTTCAACGCCATGAGACCGCCAATTGTTGCCCATCGGTATCCGATCCAACTGGTAATGGGACCTGCCACGAAGACCCCGATGAAGGCGCCCAGTGGTCCACTACACTGGAATGCTGACTGCCAGGAAGCCTCGATGATATAAACTCCTGAGACGTCGCTATATACCCCGAAGTCGTCGGCGAATTTCTGTGTGGCGATGAACTGTCCCATCAAGAAAACACAGTAGGACTCCATAATCTATGGCATCACAAGGTCAAGTGTTAGACAAGTGATCTGTAACTTGGGGTATTGGGGGGGGAAGAGCTAACAATGGTGCATGACATGACGAAGGCCCAGGCACTGGCAGCAGGATAAGCCTTCACGGCCTCGAGCACAGTCATCCGATGCTCGACCTCCTCAGCACCGATGGCGCCGGCTCTGTCATAGTCGACCTTCTCGTTGGCATCGTAGACAGGTTCGTCCTTAGAGGTGGGCTGGTCCTCGACCTCCAACGCCGAGGTTTCCTTCTCTGTGGGGTCGCTAGCCATGTTGGCGATTTCTGGGGAAGAAAGGGGTGGATGAAAGGGAGGGAGACAGGAGAAGGGGAGGGGGGATCTGGGAGATCTGGGGGGATCTCCGACCTTTATAGCTGCGACACACCGCTTGTGATGGTGATGGTACTGGTTAGTAGGAATGGTGGTATTCCGGTACTGGTGGTAATGGTGGTAATGGTGACATTAGCCTAATCGAGTGAAGCTTGGGCTTTTACTGCGGAGTCCCCGGACTTGGACCTCGTCTGGAACCCAACAACCCCACTCCGGGGGGTGAGTTTTCCGAGCACGTGGTCGATAGGAGGGTGGCAATCACCTCGCATCCACCTCCCATTCACCGTGATCGCTTTCTCATTGCACCGAAGGGTCTCCCTAGCATCCTAGCGCCTGGGTATGACGGGTGGAGAGATAATTCTGGCAGTCTTCCGGTGGAGTCGGGTGGAGATGGCCCGGTCCACCCCCATCGGCCCAATTTTCCCCGCAGTTGCGGGGGGCCAAAGGGGCTTGTTTACGGGTGGTGTACGGGTGGTGTACGAATCGTGTACGGCTCGTTTACGGGGTTTTAGGTTTGCCTGTCAGCCCCTTTCCCCACTCGGCTAATTCCAACCCCAATCAGAGCAGCTCAGACGGACTTTGTATATTGAGCTCATTCACTACGAGATGCCATTATACAGTCACTTGACATGAAATTGCACCAATCGCCACCTGTCTTGATTATTCTTGATCCCAAGTCTCAGACTTGCCCAATGAGAGCCGGTTAGCTCAGTTCTGTAAATCCAGAATTGTTACCGTTAGACAACCCTCATACGTTGTGGTTACACAATGCCCCTGCATATCGAGTAGGGTCAGGGGTATCAGAGACTGTTAGATGGCATGACCCATCGTTGCCTTGTTGGTCGTTGAGACCGAGCTCAGGTCTACTTAGAGAGTACTAAAGGACTCTAGCCCCATGTGACTGGGAATAAATCATCATGACCGACAAATCTAGATCTCACCCCGTCGGAGAACAGAGGCCAGGAATGGCAGCCAACATCCCAAAAGATGCAGACACAGTGCGCCTGCCGCCCCTCGTATCTTGGCATTAGTGCTTATAGGCCTCCAAGCTACACGAGTAAAGTTACGACGTCTGCGACATCCCCGTCTCGCTCATCTTACTTTCTGCCACCGATTGGCTACCTCGTGGCCGCACGCGCGGACCTGTCGGCTCTTCCACTGCAAGAGGAGCGTGACCGGAAGGAGTTCGTCCGGGTGGTTCATACCTTGGCCGCCGCCGCGGCACGCCACAGTGCTCCCTACACAAAAGCCATGAAAAGCAGATCAAAACGGTGACGACGATGATTTCTATCATGTCGGGTATCACGCAGACAAGGGGAGATTGGCTATCCGATGGATCATCCGGCTCTTGATCGAATACTCCGTGATTCGTAGCTCAATAGAGATGCAATGACTTCTATAGGGGGGCCGACACCCAAAGCATAAGTATCTACATCTATTGACATAGCCAGATTTCATCAACGAGTGGGTACTAAGCAAAAGACCAAAAGTCCACTTCCAACCCAAAATCACGTTCTCCTGCCTTTGGTTGAGCGGTTCTCTTCTTTTCGTACGAAGATCGACCCTCCGATGCCTACCGCATCTACCGCATCTTCGGCGGCAATCGATCAGATCGATCAGGTTGACATGCGCCTTTTCCACAGCCTGTAGCTTAGGTTCTCACTAGTCAGCCTCTTCTGCAAGGACTCGGGTATCTGCATCGAACGTACCTTTCGACATTGTGTGATGCAGTCCTGGGGACCGTAGAATTCCACCTGCAACGCGCGGCAGAGGGCTTGCCATCGCTGGAGCCGGAGGTCTCCTCCGCCCTTCTCTGCCGATACGTGGAATAAACGGTGGGATCCGGATCTCACGAAGGCCGTCCATTCACGTGGGTAGGTCCCGGAGCCCGACTTCTAGTACTAGTACGTAGTTCACGTGCGTGGCTAGCCGAGCGGGTTTGTTGGTGGCCGCGGCCGCAGGGTCAGGGCAAAAGTCGTGGAATCGCGAGCAGTCATAGCAATTACTACTAATATTCATTTTTGCTTCACGAGTTTTCTCTGGAAAGAGAGGATTAGATGGGATGCGACCGTCAGAAAGTAGATCTAATGGCGTGGGAAGAGAAGGTGTTGTACTTGTTAAGGCAAGATGTCTCTAGGCAGGTGGTGATGAAGTTTTATATCCTCTTTTGTCACTGTGTCGATTGCCAACCCGCAGACTGCAGCGACAAAAGTGAGCGGAGAGCGCCTGAAGGTAATGCCAAAATCGGACATATGTCCTACCGGTCGGTGGGAGAGAATAGCATGGTCGACCTGCGTCATCTCGTCTACGCCACCTTTGATAGGAACGTAAGAACGCCTCAGCGTGGAGGGAGCGTCTCGCATATCAAGTGAATTATTGACATTTGGCGCGCTTTGTAAATGTTGTACTTTAGCCCTGCCACGTAGTGCGCAATAGTCGCAAGAACCAGGCAGAGAGGGTGTTTAGGCCGACCGTGAGTGATTTGGATGCTTGTACATGTGCACCCACCTACTGCTGTGGCATGACCAGCACCGTCATTAGATTTGCAACCACAAGGCATAGGTATGAGGAACGTTACGACAGACCGAGATCCCACCAGAGAGCAAAGGCTCAATAAAGGTGATGAGAGGGGATAACAAAATGCAATGACTTAGAAAAACTGCCAGCTGCTGGCACATGCGCTGCCAACACTGCACCAGACAGGGTAGGTAGCTCGTGAGCCACAATCCAGTCAACTGGAAAGGTCAGCACAGCCACAGCAGCAGCGCTTAGAATGATTGAATGCTAGAGTTCCACCTTCCAGTTCACAGGCTGAAATCCCCAACCGATTCCATCACCCTTATCGGCCGCAACCCACTCTAAGACTTGAAGCTGTGGACAATTCTGGTGATATATAGCTGCTCCTCTCTACTACCCGCTCTCGAATCTAAGCTATTATCTTGTATCTCCAGTACTAGAGTCATCGTTTTATAATACAGACTGGTAATAAACTTTATGAGTGACCGAGAATTCATCATGTTAGATCGTATTCACAATGAAGAATGCAGTGTCTTGTACAAGCCCCAACAGCACGTGGCACAAATAAGAGGGCCTGTTCTGCAGGTGACCCTTACAGGGTCAAGGTAGCGGGCTAGGCTTACCTCGGTACGACCAAAAATCGGCCCGTGACCTGGGGCCTCCACCCGCTGGCTCTAGGCAAACTAGACAAACATCAGCTCTGGCTTATGCGCAGAAAACAGTGCGCATAGTCCAGCATGACTCATCTATTCCAAGCCAGGCCCACTGTCCAACGAGAAATGGGTCAAGTGACCTTAACAGATATAGCCAATCAGACAGTATGTAACTTGTACAGTGGAGCCGGGGAGAATAAGAGTCACGTGGCACCGGCATCCTTCCTGCCCCCCAAAAAAAATAAAAATAAAATAAAATAAGGTACGTACGGAATAGTGAGTTGATCCGTGCTTTCTTGAAGGTCTTGAACTATTGCTATCTGATACAGACTTGCACTTGAGCCAACTAGCCCTACCTCTCCAAGTGTCAATTCCGACGAACATAACTCTGGAAGATACCGGGCACCGCAAGGCTAGCGATCTGGAAAGAAGTATCTCGCGGCTTGATGTTCATCATCCTAGATACCAACCAGCATAAAACAGCAAAGTTAAATGTGACGCGGAAAGCTTTCTCCGCAGATTCTGCCCTGCCGCTCCCGCCCGGGAGCCCCCTGGAAGTCTCAGCTGTGTACAAAGCCAAGAGTTGGGCTCTTGCCTTGTGGTGAGAGTGTAAGAGAAAGTTAAAGTTGACTGATAAATGAGGCCACCTGCAACCTAGACTACCCCAGTACCCCAGTACCCCATGAGTATGAGGATGCCTTCTCGACATTTGTAGTTCAACTGTATTCTTAACTTACCCCCGATCCAACACCCCCGTTTTTGGGACCTTGCTTCCTTCCCCGGAATGTGAGACATTTCTGACCACCGGTGGTTCAGTCCCTGTCAATCACCTAGGATTCGGGTATGTGCACATCATCCGACCCTTGGGGATCGACCGACCCCAATTTTCATCCACCATCTATCGTGGCATTATCCTTTTGCTACTTTGAGGTCCCAACATCCCCACGGAGGCGCGTCATACCCACCGAGATAGATATAAAGGGAAGATTATCCATCAACATCCACCATCCCTCAACAGTCAACACCCACCATCCCCCTACACTTCAGACCAAACCACACCAAACCACACCCACAACTCCCTCCATCAAAACCAACATGAAACTCTCCACCCTCTCCGTCCTCACCCTCAGCTTCGCCGCCGGCGGCACGCTCGCCGCGCCCACCCAAGTCTTAGAGCGCGACCTGCCCACCATCACCGGCGTGCTGTCCGGGATCGGCACCAAGGTCGACGCGCTGGGGACGGCCATCCAAGGCTACGGCGGCGGTGACGTGGCCAAGGTGCAGCAGGCGTCGGACAACCTGGTGGCGGCGATCAACAGCGGCAACGCGCAGGTCAGCGGCACGGGGGCGCTCAGCTCCGGCGACGCGCTGGGCCTCCCGGGCCCCGTCAACGACCTCAAGAACAAGATCGCCGCCGTCATCACCAAGCTCGACGGCAAGAAGTCTCTGATCGTGCAGGCTGGCAAGGGCGCCCAGACCTACAATGACCTCACCCAGCAGAAGGCCGCCGCCAAGAAGCTGTCTGACACGATCGTCTCGAAGGTGCCCCAGGAGCTGCAGGGGTTGGCGGGTACTGTTGCCGGGGGCATCTCGGATGCGATCGAGACGGGCGTGAAGGATTTTGCGGATCAGGCGCCCAAGAGTCGGCGTGGGGTTGAGGGGGGCGCTGTTGTGGTTTGAGGAGTGTGTGGGGGGTTGAGCGTGCTGGTTACTAAGTTTGTGGGTGGTTGCTGGCCTGGTGCTGTGCAAAGGGGGGATTTTGGTGGGGCGATTATGCGGATGGATTGGTTTGGATATAGGCGAATTGAACATTGCTTGCACGCGAATCTTGCTCGTAGCCTCAGCGTAGCCCACTTTGGATGTGACACAGATAAAGTTGTGCTTGGTCTATAATGGTAGTAAAGACTATGTTTTACGAGCGCCCCGAGGCTGTTGCTCAAATCATGATGGGGTTATCAACCTGACTACCACTTTGCGCACTGAACGCAACGTCGTATCCAACCCTACCTCCTCTTCGGCTTTTGTCGTCCGAGAGGATCCCAAGCGACCCAAAACATCAAGCTGAAGTCCCTGGTTCTTCAACACATTCCCCACCCCCCTTCTCACCATCTAAACAAGGTAAGCGAAAGAACAACGACAGAACCACCCCAAGCGCCGCCATTGCGATCGCAGCATAGTACCCCGCCTGATATCCATCCAAGGCAGCGCGAGGATTCTCAACGCCTCCGTGGTCAGCAGTCACCGAGTTGGAGATCACGGTCAATACCGCCACTCTCAGCACTGCTCCGCCCACATCCAGGAACATCTGAACGTCAACATGACTAGTCAGTCAGGCTACATCATGAGGATTCGGGGAAGAGAGAAAACAAAATCTCGTCAAGTGATCAAGCATACATTATAAACCCCAGCCACCGTCCCCTGTTGCTCCTTCTTCGCGGTGGCCACCACACTCACGTTCCCCACGAAATACACCGTCCCGACACCGGCAATATACAGGACCATCCCGGGGAGACAGAAGCACCAGTAGTGGTCGGCCCCGCCCATCCGGGTAAAGAGGACCAGTCCGCCCAGCGTCAGGGCCCAGCTACACACCAAAAGCGTGCGAGCGCCGACCGGGCCGATTAGGACGGGGACTACGAAATTGACCACTAAGGCCGTGACACCGAAGGGGATGAACCGTAGCGAGGTCGCAAGTGCGGAGTAACCGAAGGCTTTTTGATGGAAGACTGTTTGTTAGTGGCACGGGGGTTGGGAGTGGATAATGGAAAACCCAACGGGGAAAGCCTTACTTTGCAGCTGAAGGGTCAAGAGGTAATTGCTGCCTTGCCAGACAGCATAGGTCAGGGCGGCGCTGGCACAGCCCAGCGCTTTCACTCGGTCGGTGATCATGTACCGAGGGAGAATTGGGTCGGCGGAGAATCTCTGTTCTAGAACTAGGAACACGCCTAGTGCTACCACCGCCAGAATCAGCGTCGTCAGAACATTGGCCTAGTTCCAGCCGTCGATGTTCCCGGTCGTCAGCGCGTAGATCAGAAGGATGAGGCCGGCAACCGATACATCTCCATGAGACTATCGAGGCCGAGACACGGAGATTGCTTTGCTCGCGGAACGGATAGATATTTATGGCAGGTTCTTCATGGACAAGATTGAATGACAGCAAGGAGATCGCTAGCTGCAAGCAGGGAACAGGCATCCTTGGAATGTAGAAAGATTAAGAACATCCGGGGAGAAAAAGGCAGTACCAGAGCACATGGTACAAGGTACAAGGTATGAGATAGCCTCTGGACACATGGGGAACAGCTAATCACTGGGTCAAAAATAGCATAGGCTCCAGAGTACTCATACTCGGTGACTCACCTTGAGAAATCAGAGATTTCAAGCTTTTCCCGGTGTGCCACAGGCATTCAGCAAGATTGGTCTTGCTATAATACATTTTTTGTTGCTAGACTGCTGGTCTTACGCTGCCTTTAGCCGGAATTACATACTCCCACGTAACAGAGTTTGTCGAGAACAGACGCTGAAGCCACCGCCCCTTGCCATGACCTACGTAGTCAGAGACCCCTCTTCTCTACCCCTTTTGAGATCTCTTCGCATAATCAAATAACCGTGAGCGGGCCAGGCGTGTTCGGGCTATGCATTGAGCTTACTTATTATCACATATTGCCAGCCACCATGAACAGGGCCGATCCAAATGGTAGATGAAAGAGATACACCGTACAGCCCGGTACTAACACATGGTAGAACGACCGAATAAGCAGGCACGAGTGGAATGGCAGTTTCGTGGGCACCATCGTGTGTTTCTTTCACTGAGACTCGAACCTCCATCTTCATCGCCTCGAAGGTCGCCACCACCCGGTATTCCTCCAGCATATCACTGAGACGTACCTGAAACTTCCATACGTTGGCGTTTACCGAGAGACGACTCGAACCATCTCTGTGGAAGAACATTTCTCCAGCCCATTCCCGTCCTTGCTCTGGCCAGCAGCCTCAGCCTCAGCACCAACCGTCTTGCTCGCTTTCGACTTACCAAACAGCTGTTGCTCAAGTCGGCTCAACTCCTCCGCAGCGCTAGCCTTTCGCCTCCATCAGTCTGGATAAGCCGGGTCTTGCGCCACCTCGTCGAACATGGCCATGTACTGGTCCATATCCAGCGTCGCTGAATGGACGCGGAAAGTGTATCGACCCGCCCGGAAGTCACGCTCGGCGCGAATCAAACTCGGTTTGACCGACTCGAGAGAACTTGATCTTGTCGAACTGATGGAAGAGACAGGGGTAGTATGCCTGCTTACGAACGGCCTCCGCGAAATCGGGGTCCCCACTGAACAAGCCATAGCCCGGGATGATCGCATCGACTGCACAGGCCTGGCCGATTCGCGAGATCGAGGCACTATTCGGACGAATCCCAATGTTATATCAACAAATCGTGACGCAATGCACCGAGTTCCAGTTCCAGGATCCATTCTGCACTCATCCATCCATATACGTGGTGCCATCGCTTCCCGGGAGCGGAATCACTTCATCGGCCAGCCGTGCATGTAGAGAAGACCCGTCTGCCGGTGTCACGATCGCAACACTCCAGACGCTGAGCTCGTGACAGACGCGAATGCAATGAACGGCGATCTCGCCGCGGTTGGCGACCAGGGCTTTGCGGACATGGCGCAGCGGCTCAGGGTTCATGTTGATGCTGGGGCTCTACGGATGGGAGACGAACGCCGCAAATCACAACATTGAAAGTGACGGCTCGTATTGTATGATATCTCGCAAAGATAAAAAACCTGGATTCTTGCTCCTCATTTGCCAGCTCGGTGGCTCCATGTCATGTACCACGATGGGGTAAGGATGATCGGTGCGGGGCAAGCTGGATGACGAATGCCTGAGATACGCGATAAGAGTTGGGGTAAGCAGCATGCCCGGTGAAGGTCCGATCGGCCAGTGTGTCAGGATTATTTGGAGCATGGTCTATTGACCAAAAGATAAAACACGAAATATGAGAACCAACGCTGGATATAAATAGCAATTAAATAAGATTGTCTTTTGTTTTCCGAATTTACTAGAGGCTAGATAGTGCGGGAGATGTATGACTGTCACCATGGCAATCACTACCAATCTGATAGCAACCCCTCATACGCATCCAATTGACGGTTGACAACCCCACGACCCTCACTCTTCTCGATGACTACTATTCCCCCTAGGAAAGTCGAGCATTCTGCGACGTACTGCCCTCAAATCAGAAACCCTCAACCCCGGCCTCCTGCGGAAACCGCAGCCGGTTAGCCTCATCGACGGCCCTGCGCACGCCCGCCACATTCTCCAACACGGTCGGCAGATCCGAATGCACACAGATACTAAATGGGGTGCCCTCGAACCCAAACCGAAACTCTCTCCCCTCGATGTCCTTGCCGACATCCGTCAACGCAGCGGACCGCGCCCGCTCGTAGCACAGCTCCGGCGTCGGACCGCGGGACTGCGCGACCGGCAGCAGCCGCCCATCAGCCGAGTAGTCGATATCCACATACATCTCGCCCTGGAACGGCACGCCCAGCTCCCTGCACATCGCCGCCTGCTTAGCATTCTGGGAACCGTACACGGGCACCCGGAAGGTGGCGCAGGCCTCCAGCACCGCGCGCATGATGTCCTCGTCGCGCTGCATGTAGAAGAACAGGTCGCCGTGCGGCTTGATGTGGGCGAGGGCCACGCCCTCCGCGTCCAGCATCGCCTTCAGCGCCCCGACCTGGTACAGCACCGCGGCGTACATGTCCCCCGGGTCGACCTCGATCTTGCGGCGGCCGAACCCGAACAGATCCTGCTGGCCCGGGTGCGCCCCGGCCCGCACCCCGTGCTGCTTGCACAGCCGGATGGTCTTGAGCATGATGGTTGGGTCGCCGGCGTGGAAGCCGCAGGCGATGTTGGCGGCGTCGATGAACGGCATCAGTTCTGAGTCGGGGCCCTGTTTGTGGTGGTGGGTGGGTTATTCCGTTGATCTATGTGGTGGTTACACGAGCGACGGGGCTACTTGCCATCTTCCAGCGGCCGAAGCCTTCGCCCATGTCGGCGTTGATTTCATATTTGCGTGCTAACCCGGTCATTGTGGTTGGGGATAGCGGCCCGTGGTGGTGGTTGGAGACTGAATTGGAGAGTTCAAGGGGGCGGGGTTGGGGTTTTAAGTAGTATGTGGTGTACTGTAGTGTAGTGTGCTGGGCGCGGTCGTCGGGCACTTTAAACCTAACTGTACTTGATAGCACCACTTGCATATGTTTTGCTCAGCAAGCGGAGTTTACGAATGTGACCAGTGCAATAGTATATTAGTTTACAATATTAGTTAGGATATTATCATGAGTGACGTAACGCGATGCTGCAATGCGACTGTTTCTTATTATATTTATGGGTCTTTACGATCGGCGCTTAGCTGCGGGGTTCAGAGGTTCAGAAGCCTGCAAGGGAGGAAGACCGCAAGCTGGCCTTTCACCCAGTTCTAGATGTCAAATTTGAAAGACGTCTCGTTTGCTTTAGAGCGCTGAACAGTCTCGCCCTGGACAAGAAAAGATACTGAAAGTACTAAATCATGTGTAGAAATTGACTCGAACGCTAGGATCCATACGGGGGGATAGACGGAGCATAATACGACCTCAAGACGAACACCGAAAAGCGGGGCAACTTATAAATGCACAGCAGATACATCTGCCAGGCGCAATCACCATGTTGGACATGCACGCACCGAACCACCCCACAGACTGTGGATGTCCTTCTAACTACTGACCAGCCCCCCGCGCAGGCTCCCCCAAAGCAACGAAGCAGTGTTTCGGCTGCCGAAAGAGCCCATCGACCGCCGCGTACGTCGCCAGAGCCGCGGGACACGGCCTCAGCTCGAAATGCCACACCAGCAGCGCGAACGTCATGCGCAGCTGCAGCTGGGCCAACGGACGCCCAAAGCAGCCCCGGAGTCCGGCCCCGAAGGCCAGGGTTGGGCCCGCGTTCGGATCGAAGGTCGATGGGCCGTTGGCCCCGGAGGGAGCCACCAGCCATCGCTCCGGAACGAATCGATCGAGATCTTCACCAGCCCACTCGTGACTGGGAGACTGCCGGGCGTGATCTTGCTTTACGGCGGGCGTCGGCATCGCCGTCCGAGACACAGCGATACTACGCCTGTCGGCGGGGATCGGCCACGCCGGTGACGTGAATCCGGGCCCGCTGCTCAGGGCCCAGACGCAGGTGCCCTTGGGAATGGCGTAGCCCAAGAGCTCGGTGTCCCGGGTGGCGATGCGGTCGATCATAAACGCGGTCGGAGTAAACCGCAGCATCTCCTCGACGGTTGCGTGAAGATAGGGGATGGTTCGGGTGGCCAGTTCCAGGGCGCTGGGCGGGCGTCCTGCCGTTAGGGCTTCGGGGAAGCCCGCCCGCAGGCATGCGCGGAGCTGGCTCTGCACCCGAGGGTGATCGGATAGAAGCTTGACTCCCCAGGCTAATGTGAACACGGTGCTATGCGAGGCGCCAAAGATGGATCCGTAGAGCTGGTGGTGAGCGGGTTAGCTGTTGGTTATGTTGGTAGTTTTTTGTTGAACGTCACGCACCTCGTCTTCCATCGCCGGGGACAGGTAGTCCGGTTTCCGCGATTCTTGTTTCGCCAGGTCTCTTTCATGCCGAATCATGAATTCAACCGACGATTGGGGTCGGTCGGGAAGCTCTGATGCCGAGTCCGCGGGTGCACCGACGGTGCTGGAGACCGCAGTCTCGAGCCATTCCCGCGTGACCCGGCGTTTGACCCGGAGGGCGTTGGCCAGTCGGGGTAGCTTGGACATCATCCACCATGACTGTCGTGGGAAGAGCGATGTCCCGCTCTGTTCAATGGCTTCACTGAGCACTCCGTGCGCACGGATGAACTCGTGAGGATCTGATTCCGGGAATGTGATGATCTGCGGCTCACTGCTCACTCTCGCCCTGCCACAGGCTTCGGCGTCCCGGAGAAGCTCGATTTGCGATGAGATCCCGTCTTTGGGAAAGTCCCGTCCGAATGAGATTTCCAACAGGGTATCAAGGACCATGCGTTGAAAATCCTTTTGAGGTGCAAAGCAGGCCGACGACTCTCGGGACACCCGCCCCTTGATACTCCACAGTTCGACCAGGCGCACGACAGACGCGTGAATCGCAGGCGCAGCAGTGTCCTGGAGGAACGGAGTGGTCACCAGATGCTTTACCAGATTACGGTGTCTCTTCCACTCGGAGCCAGTGCTCATGGTGATATGGTGAGTGGGAGACAGGCCGGAGAAAATGTCCTGCACCATGGGTGTTCGGTCAAAGTCTCGACTGCGATAGAGCAGCAGGTCAAGGGCCTCTCGTGGATCACTAAGGACCACAATTGGCTTACCTAGAGGGTCCAGAAACAGTTGAATCAGAGGGGACTGCAGCCGACGGGTCTGTTCCAGAAGCCAGGACTGGATGTCCTGCGTACTTGCCATTATCTTCTGCAACTCAGGAAGGTCTCCGAGTAGCCTCCGGGCTGACGCCGCATTGTGCGGAATATCGCGGATCGGTCGAGGTAGCAGGAGGCGGTGGTAGACTTGGTGTATTGCCACAAGCACGAGGCCTACCGCCACAGCTTTGATCACACCATCCAAATCGAAATCCATCTCGAGGAGAAGTGGGAGGCGCTAGAGCTTGAACTGACCTGACCGTATGCATGCTTTTATTACGAGCGGACGACTATCAGGTACCAGCGGCCGGCCTCCGTATGACATGTCTATTGGGGCTGTCACAATCCTCGCAGGCTCGGTCGCTGTGGGGTCATACAGGATGAAATGCTGGGGATAGCTCTGTTCTAGATTAGCTTTCTCTCTATGGTATTAGGGTCTATATGATACATCACACGGCTCATCACCCGAACTTCTCTTCTTGCGCTTGTGGTTTCTTTTCCCTTTGGAACGCCTGAAAGGTTTGACTTTCTACCCAGTGACATTTTCTATGTTACAATTTCTGCGGAGGGCAGCGGGCATCACACCTAGACATTCTCTTCTACAGTACCCGCGAAGCCATTAAAATACAAGTAACAACCAAGATACACCACTCAACTCCGTCGATGCACCTCCAACAACTAAGATATACCTCAACCTTGAGCATACAGCCTCCGAAAGACTAGCTTCCTTTGCTTGCGCCGATCCTTGTCGTCTCCCCAGCGCGACATTGGCGGTGCACCTGGACCGCCACCCGAACGAAATCGCGCGTCCAGATCAAAAACAGCCCCTGTAACGCGATCGAGATACCAGACAACCCCAACTTCACATCCCGGGCCAGACAGACAGTCCCTGGCTGCACCTGCGCCCGGCACGCCAGTCCCTCCCACCCGGAAGCTCCCGGATCGAGCACCATGCGTCCCGCCACTACGAGCTCACAGTCCCCAGACACGGGCAGCAGGCGGTGCAGCGTCCAATGAAGATAGGCAAACATCACGTGGCGGGTCAGAACCCAAACGACAATGAAGGCGAGGAGCGAGGCCCGGAGGCTTTTCCGATGCCCCAAGCATCGCTGGATCTGCACGAACTGCTCCGCCAGTCAGCACACTCTTTTCATGTGGATTTTGACACTTGCGTTGTTTGAATCTGGTGATGGGGATGGACATACGGCCAGAAGGAAGTCCGCCAGATCGGCGGTAAGCAGAATCCCATAGAGCAGGGCGTACACTCGGCTGTTGCAGCAGGCGATCACCACCGCGCAGGTCAGGATATGGTGAAGGAACTTGTCGAGGAAGTCGTCTTTGATCGGTTCGACGACCATGACCAGGCACTGGTGCAGGTAGAAGGCGAGCCGAAGCAGGAAAAAGCACTGCATGGGGTGGGTGATTTGGGATTGTGGCCAGTTTTGGAATAGACGCTGGGGGTTCAGAAGGTCGGGGCTGTTGTACCACAGGCCCTGAATGCTCGGAGAATCAGACGCGAACTGTGTGAGCCTGGCTGCGAAACATAGGTGAATGGGTGGAAACAAACCGAGGCATACAGCATCAAGATACCGCGGGAGACGGCCTTCCAGCCCAGAGCAGCAAGATGGGAGGCATCCTGCGGTCCAAAGCCATACTTGTGCAGAGTCGGCTGTAGGAGGTACCGTGCTATTATGGGACGAGCAAGCGTGAAAATGAAGCAGAAGACCGCTAGAAAGCCCCGGTCATCGAGTACATCTCGTGGATGTACAGTGCCCTGCTCGGATCTCCAGCACAGGATCGGTGCCTGGATAGCTGCGAGAAAAGCATGCTTATCGGTCAAGGCGTGCGCGAAAAGAACCAGTAGCGAGAATCCTCAAGCGATCATCGTTAACATTGGAAATGGTATTTCGAGTTGACCGGGCGGGGAAGGGATTGCGCGCTTACCGAGCTGATGCGCCGCAATGAATTGTCGCACATTCACCTGATCTGAAGCTATCATCGTCGCGAGACTGTATCATTCAGGAAAATGACAGAAGCGTGTCTCTGACACCTCGCCTTCCAGACTGCGATGCTGATTGTGACGAGGAGAAATCAAAGCAGTCTCACGGCAGAAGATATCGGTCTGCTAAGTCCAGCAAGTAATCGAAGCTGTTTGTGCGGACTCCATGGCGATCACAGTAGAACTCGACTCCAAAAACGAGGGTGTCAGTGCTTTGAGGTTCACGGTAACTTAGTTGTCAATCTGATCTGCAGGTAGTCCTTGACAGCTCCACCCGCATAAATCCTTTACATACGTATCACGCGAAGGAATGTGACCCGGGAATTGACCCACTTTTGACCCGTAAATGCAGAGACGAGTCAAACTAGGGGCAGAGAAATACTATACATCGCACAAAAGAACGATCTGACTGACAGAATCAAGTTTGGTCTCTTATCCCCGCAAACCCATGTATGACAGGTGTTCATTCCCGAAGCGCACCATGGTTCGTGCGCTGTCGCTCTCATTTCGGTTTATCTACTCTATCCAGTAAATGAACCTCACTGAGACGCGAAAACTCCTTCTGCGAAGTGAGCCAACCCGGGTGGAAGACGGCACAGATCCCCACCAGGAGCACCATCATCACGGCATCCAAGGCGATCAAGTAATTTTCATGCAGCAGAAGATAGCCGCCGGGCCCCTGCCCGAGCTCGACGGTGCGGTAGATACATCGGATGTAGATGCAAACCGTAGCCGCGGCCAGCACCCCGCGCCAGAGGGCGATGGATGCGCCCGGGGCAGATAGGCGAAGTCGATGGACCCGATAGAAAACATCACAGGCACAGAGAATGAAGATCGTGATGGAGAAGAGCTGGAACACCACCCCGGCGAGCATGATGTTAGATCCGTGATCAAGGTTGCCGTTGACCTTCTTGGAGTCCGCGGAGGCAATGCCACCCCCAACGGCCTGAATGACGATGGAAATGAGATCGCAGGCACTGAAGATCCAGAGGTAGCTACGCGGGCTGAGGAAGGAGGATCTCCGGCCCATGATTCGCACAAAACACCCGAGCAGGACGTAGATAGCGGCGGTGAAGAAGGTGGGGGCTGGTCTATACGTCAGTTGGATGGGCAATATGTGTGATGGGTCTGATAGCTCCCACGAAGACAAATCACTGACCGATGATTAGAGTGGAGAACTGAATCAGGAATGCATTCAGGTTGTACGGGCATCGCGTGGTCCAGATCCTGGCCGCCCACCCCAGGACTTCAGCTATCGAGGATCAACATTTAGGGTTAGCCACGCCACCGGGCAGGAATGTTTCTTGCGCTTCTTGGGACGGGACATACTCAAGCAGCCTACCACAAACAGTATGGTCCACCAAAACTGTCGGTATATCATTATTTGGATGACGTGTATACCTGCTAGAAGACTAAACAAGGTACAGAAGGCGACGCCGGGGGCAAAGGCCGGTAGGTAGCCGTACGGGGTGCCGTATCCATCAATCAGAGCGTGGCAGCCAGTCGTCAGATCAGTCATGGCATTCGCCATTGCTGGATAATAGACTAAGAGCGGCTGAAAAGTAACGATAAAACAAATGCTACAGATTCTTTCATGTGTGTGTCCTCACAGCGCTGATTTAAGGGCGAGCACGACGCAAGGGGCTGAAGGCCTTTTCCCAATTCAGTATGATCGCCTTCGGAGCCATCTCAGATCTACCCTCATCATCGATACACCCTGCAAGTGCACCAACGTGCCCCTGGAGAATCACCTTTTGTCAGAGCTGAGCCTCGGAGGATCTCGCTACGATCGAAGCTCGCTTGCCCCTGTCTGGCGTTAAAGCATAGGTACTATTCTCGTGTGGGTATGTGATAGATCTATTCATGATGGATCGCATGAGTGTCCAGCCTCCACCCATTGACATTGTCAACCTATCCTATCATAGTCCACTATGCAGGAGCAGCAAAGAGCCTCGTTGCGAAATACTCCTTTCTCGGGCTTTTTTTCACTGCATTATAAAGCCTCAATTCTCGCAGCCCGCCAACAGGAACCACCAGCAAGGCATTTACCCCTTATGGTTGGCCTATCCTTCCTCCCCCGATGGAACAAGACCCTGCCCAGTATGGTCCGATCAGCCATGCCAGCGATCGATATTCCTGTCGCCTTCCAAACCAGCCCTCGAACCATCCTACCGCTGATCAGGCCCCATACTTCTACGTCATCACGACATATTTGAGTTATACCATCATCCATCTCATCGGCTTGATCCGGGACTTTTTCGGAATCTACTTCAAGCCGGCAAAATACCGCCATCTCCGCCCATGGGACGGATACGCACCCTGGTTCACTGCCCGCGAGAGCGTCTACACGCGGCGTATGAAGGTGCGACTGGCAGACTGCCTGGACCGTCCCACCACGGGTGTCCCAGGCCGCTTTATTACCCTGCTTGATCGAGTGACACACGACAACAATAGATCCTTCAAACTCACTGGTGCGCGCATCCAGACCCTGAACCTGGGATCCTACAATTACCTGGGTTTTGCGCAGTCCAAGGGGACATGCGCGGATTGGGTCGAAGCGACGATTCGCGCGTATGGCATCAGCGCAGGCGGCGCCCGGGCTGATGTCGGGGGTCTGGATCTCCATGTCGAGGTCGAGCAGCTGGTGGCCGAGTTCGTGCGCAAGGAAGCGTCCATCGTCTTTTCCGCGGGGTTTGGCACCAACGCAACCATCTTCCCTGCATTGGTGGGGCCGGGCTGCCTCATTCTCTCAGATGAGCTCAATCATGCCTCCCTACGGTTCGGGGCTCGCCTTTCCGGCGCATCGATCGTGACGTTCCGACACAACGACATGCACGCTCTGGAGGGAAGGTTGCGGGAGGCAATCTCACAGGGACAGCCCGCCACCACGACCGATCCCGGCAGCAGTGGTGGCTATCGTCCCTGGAAGAAGATTCTGGTCGTGGTCGAAGGTCTGTATTCGATGGAGGGGACTTTCTGCAACCTTCCAGATATCACGGCGTTGAAGCGCCGGTACAAGTTCCACCTGTTTGTAGATGAGGCGCATTCCATCGGCGCGCTTGGTCCGGAGGGTCGAGGCGTCTGCGACTACTTTGGCATTGATCCGAGGGAGGTAGACATCCTAATGGGAACCTTGACAAAATCATTTGGCGCCATCGGAGGATATATCGCAGCGGATGGAGAGACCGTGCGCAAGCTCCGCGCTGTGAATGCGGGCGTGCTGTACAGTGAAGCCATAGCCCCAGCCCTGTTGGCGCAGATCTCCGCTTCGTTTCGGATCCTGACTGGCGAGCTACTGCCGGGTCAGAAGGAAGAACGATTGCAGCGCCTGGCCTTCAATTCTCGTTACCTGCGCCTCGGTCTCAAGCGACTTGGGTTCATCGTCTATGGGAACGACGACTCCCCAGTCATTCCGTTGATACTGTATAATCCAGGCAAGATGACCGCGTTCTCACGGATGATGCTCGCCCGCGGGATCTCGGTGGTGGTGGTTCCGTTCCCCGCCGTTCCGCTCGAGCTGTGTCGAGTGCGATTTTGTGTTTCTGCGGCGCATAATGTGGAGGACCTCAACCGTGTCTTGGCAGCTTGCGATGAGATTGGAGACATTCTAAGGTTGAAGTTTTCCAGTGGCGTTGCGGGTGGGCTGCGCAGTATAACTAAGCCGTTGTCGGATGGAAACCCTGTCCCACCGAGGTGGAAACTGGACGACATAGTACGCTGCGGAGCACAAGACGTACAGCAGCCCCTGTATTGATGAACAGAAACTCGACTAGATGGAAAGCTGTACGGAGTAGGGAGAGAATTTTTCACCAGATCGTAGGATGGCGGATCGTCGGGGATCGACGGCTTATTTACCGCATTCACCCAATGCTCGTATTGTGCCAGACAGGTCATATTATGAGGAGTACTGCAGAATGAGAGCCATCAGAACTCATGTTCTCCGCCAGGAACGGTTTTCACTACGGTGTCCGGTGTTGTAACTACTTAGTAACTCGCTCTTCTTGAATTCCCAATGTTTTGGTTGAGCATATCAAGCTCTCGAGCCCTCGGGAAAGCTTTGCCGCCGCACTCCGTACGCTCGGTTTACATGTCGGTCATTCCGATAGTCAACGCCAATGAGTATACAGCTTCCCACTCGCAAAGATCGAATTGTAAAAGCATTCGACTCTGAAGATTACCTATCAGCATCACCGTAGTTGTCTATTGTCTATTGCTCCTTTGAGTCTGTTTGACGCGATGGGCTGGCGTTCCCGTGGAGCTCTTCTCCTCCTCGCTAATGGACTGATAATTGCGTCTGCTATTGTGTTCACCATGGGCTTTTTCCGGCCGATGCCCCCCTCATCGGCAAGAAAAGCACCGCCAGACAGGCGCCCTTTTGCCCAAAAAGCCCCCTTCGAGAAAGTGGTGTTTTTGATGATTGATGCGCTCCGCAGGTGGGTTTCGAAACAGATGCCAGCGACTACTTTCAACCCTACCACCTGATACTAAGCCAAAAGGCTACAGTGATTTTGTTTACAGCCCACAGTCTCAGTTCAAATTCACGCAAAGGTATGCAATGATCCGTCGCCGAATCTGTAAGCCACCTGAGCTGATATGGTCCCCAAGTCTGATCCGCTCCGGCGCAGCCATGCCTTTTACCATGAAAACGGGCTCGCCAAGTCTGACTAGAGCATGTATAAAGGCGATGACTGTGGGCTCAGCCTCCATGTTTTTGGACGTCTTTCACAACGCTGATGATGGACCCGGCACGCCCGAATCTATGGATACGTGGTTAGCGCACCTGAAAGTTGCTGGAAGGGGAAGCCTACTCTTCTACGGCGACGACACGTGGGTGCAGCTTTTTCCCGAGGTCTTTGACCGAGGATGTCCTATCTCGCCGTTATTCGTCCCAGTGAGTCTCGAAGTCCCAAGAGCCCAGCTCTTCTTCCACTGAACGCCAGAGGGAAAGGACACATCGAATGACTGGTAGATCGCTGAAACCCGCACAGGACATTGATTCACCAGACCTGAACGTGTCCGCCAATGCCATGATGGAGCTTCAGCGCGATGACTGGAGCGCACTGGTCCTCCACTTTCCCGGCATCGACCACGTCGGGCATATGGGTGGCGCGGACAGTGAATTCATGGCACCCAAGCAACGTCAGATGGATGCTATCATTCGAGAGACCTATGAAGCTCTCGAGGCGGAGGCACATCTGAAATCGACACTTTTCGTGGTTGGAGGCGACCATGGGATGGATCGGTGGGGGGGTCATGGCGGTGCATCGGACCCTGAAGTCTCGGCCGCGATGATGTTCATCTCGCCACATTTCAAGTCGCTCAATCGAAGCTATGAGTCTCCTGCAGTACCCACCGCTGGCACCTTTGACTACTACACTGTCATGCAGCAGGTCGATATTGTACCTACCATGGCAGGGTTGCTGGGTGTTCCTATACCTTCCGCTAGCATTGGGGTCTTCATTCCCCAACTTCTTGAACTGTGGAGGGATTCCACGGATCAAGTCAATCTTGTTCTTGAGAATCTCGAGCATCTTCGAGCGTTATCTTGCGAACCTTATACCGGGATGGCTGCATGCGAGATCGACCTTGACTGGCATGGTGTACCACATGAGTCTCTCAGTGAAAGGAGCCTAGGAGAGCTTTCTCTGGTAATAATTCTATTCCCCGGTGGCAAGCGCGCAACATGCATGGCTGATATGACTGAGAGACGTTTTAGATGAGCAAAGAGCTTCAGAATAAACTAAAAGATGCGACGGCCGGAAACATGCACGTGCCTCTTCTTCACTATGCCATTGCAATTGCCGTGATCGCACTTCTACTTGCCGGGGTTACTTGCAAGTCAATTCCTCCGCTGAGCAACAACTTCTTGGGCTTGAACCTCTTTCAACTTGTCCACGGCCTTACTTTACTCTTCCCATTCCTCGTGGAGAAAGAGCATCTCTTTTGGTTCTGGGGTTCTACCGTATGGATGGGCTGGGTAATCTTCACTACCGGCCGCTCTTCCTACATACTAGGCCTCGGTAATTGCACCCCCCTTTTCTTGCACATACTGTCGCAGCGGTGGAATATCCATGATCGGGACACAGCCGAGAAGATATACAGCATTCAAAATCTCTTCGACGGACGTCCCCTTTGTCTTTGGTTTCTGATTGCAGTGACCCTTCTCCACACCTCCTACACATTCACAGTGCACCGTAGGAGGAATGTGGCTCGTGACGCTCAAGAAAAACCACTTCTTGTATTCGCTCACCGAGCAATACTCCTGCCCGTTTTTTTGTTCAAGTTCGCCTCTGCAGCCCGGGCTGGCCCAGGTCTCATTGATCGCGCCCCTGAATGGCTGCAGGTCATTATTCTGGAGCAGCTTCCCCTTACGCGGATGGCTCAATTTATCTTTGTGTATCTAGCTATAGGGGGCGGCTACGTGATCCTGCGCTCTTGTGCCCAAGAAACGTCGCTGAAGAGCTTAAACGGTGAGTTGACGGGGGCACTTTGCCCTATCGGCGATTGTTGGGATGACCGCTAATGCTGGCCTCTTCCAGCGACCGAACTCCCCGCTCTACTTGAAGTCCTGAACCTATACTTGTTCATGCAGACTATCCCCGGCAATATCCCGCTTCTTCTGATCTACCGCATTCAGCTCGAGTGGATCGGTGCGTATTGGCTTTGTCCTGAGGCGAATCTAATCTCCTTGACACCCATGTCTCTGACCCTGTCGTCATATCATACAGTGTCTTCGGCCGCAAACCTCAGCGCCTTTCAAGTTTGCTTCTCCATCGTCCTGTTCATCCACAGCGCATTCTTCGCCTGCGGCAACGCGAACACGATCGCCGCGCTCCGATACACCGAGGGTTTCAATGGACTTCAAGCCCACCACTGGCTGCTCAGTCCCGTGCATACCTTCTGCAGCAATTACGCTGGTCCGATCTGGTGGAGCGGGAATGGATTACAACTGCTGGGCGCGACCGGGCAGGGAGAACGCGGTGGTCGTAGTGGCTTTTGCGAGCACCTGGGGCTTCGGACAGTCTTCGTGGCGTATGGTCTTGTTGGCGCGATGGGAGCATGCTACCTGCTTAGGGGGGAGGCCGTCGTTTGGACCGTCATGGCGCCCAAATTCCTGTATACGGTTTTGTGGACGGTGCCCTTTCATCTGCTGTTCAATATGGCCATGCCGATTGTGCTGTGGGTGGGTGGCGGATATTAAGAAGATGTTTGATGGTGGAGTGCTCTGGCTTTCATCGGTCAGTGTTATCGGTCAGTGTACTTCAAATGTGTGAAAGAGATAATGGCGAGGGTTCTTTGTTGTGGTCAGCCACTGTATACAGTTTCTCAGATTTGGCAGTATATTCCATGTTCTTCGAGTCTACCCTATAGATCCTGTGTATAATGATCCATACGGTGAGTGGGCTTCGTGAAATGGAGGCCTGGCTGTGCTTGGCGGAATTTATCCCCTCGAAGACGAGCTCTTTCAACGGTAAAGCTTGTCATTGAGTCGGAAGGGTATGGGTGTTTGCTTCCGGAAAACACCAATGCAGCAGCAGAACACAGACAGCTCTGTCTTGCCATTTCTCTTCCAGGGCTTGGCAAGCTGGAGGTGCAGTTGGAGGTGCTAGCAATAGGCCCACCTCTCCCTCCAGCACCTCCACAGAACCTCCAAATCACCCACGAGCATGTCCAAAATGCCAAGCAGGTCTTGTCAGTCTTCTGTGACGAGGGTGTTATGATTGACAAGATTCAAGGCATGGAAGGAGGAGGGTGTTAGTATGGCAGAATGATAGCTAGAATACATCCATCATCAATTCAGCTACGCCCCCACCCCTAACCTCGGGATCATCTCACTAAGGCGAGAGCCAACAGAGGGCCTTCGCATTAAGAAGTCCCGAATCAGATCTATTGATACCCACACTACCCCAGGATTCGTCGCGGCAAGCCGGTCGCCCATAGCATCTTTCGTGTCACGCAAAACATCCATCCCGCAAGCAAGGCTATTGTGTTGACGAGATTGTGAAACAGCTTCCAAATTTCCATCGTGGCCAGGGGCTGGACTTCTATTGGCGTGACACGGCGTGACACCCTGGCCGTGTCCGCCTGGTTGAAAATACATCGGGATCGGCCTAGACAAGACTGCGAGGCTGGTTTTTCATAGCCGCCAGACTCATGCAATCGGGAAGACACCAGGCATTGGTTTCGCTCCCTTGCTCGAAGTGTAGAATTTGTAGCCAGAGCTAATCCACTCCCCGCCGTGGCTGCGTTATGGTAGCGGACCTCCCCGGTACAATCTTCTGGATGCGCGAGGACATCCTGAAACTGCAGGCCGACACATCAACATAAAACAAGATCTCCGGCGAGGAACTCAGAAAGCGTGAATTGCCTTTCGAGATTCATACTATCTTCTCAAACCGGACTGACCTGTAGCTGCTGAACATCCTTAAGCGTAGGGGCGAGGACACTGCCGAAGGCCTAAGCGGTCGACTACCTCACCCCAACAGAGTGCTTGATGTACAGCACGGCAGGCTGGTACGGCGCCTTGACTTTTGAGACCGAATAGAGCAGGCACAGGATACAGAAGCCGGTCCGTAGACGGGGATGGCCGGGTTGATCTATTTCTTAAGGCTGAATGAGTCATGTTTTGACGATGGTCTCTAGTGCACAGAGCGTGTTCAGGCTCAGACCACACTCAGAGTACAAGGACATTTATCGGCCTGCCACCCAGTGCAATTTGACCTGCTTAATGGACCTTGATTCGGTCTATCGTATATCAAATTACAGTCCTCACCGCTATCCCGCCCTCACCATCAAGCTCTCCTCCCTCGTAAAACACATTCAACCCCTCCATCGCCGGACCAGAAGAACCGCCGTGCCAGCAACACCCAGAATTCCAACCCACCGCACCATCGCGCGACGGATGTACTCACGCCCGGTGCGCGCAATCGCATCCGCATCGTTGATCCGCGGGAAGGGAATATCCGGAGGAATCTCCTTCCCCAGCGCGCGACACAGCGGCTCCCACCCGTCGCGCACGTCGACGAACACCACGCGGTCGGCGGGGACGTTCGCTTCGATCCAGGCGATATGCCGCTCGTAGATGCCACGGTGGATCAGCGTGCCGCTGACTTGCTGGACGGAGGTCAGGCTCTGATTGTCCGCATAAAGCCGGCACCACTGCCGGCGCAGCAGCCAGGTGAAGTCCACGAAGTGTCGCATGCCCGGCAGTGGGAGGAGGAGGAGCTTGAGACATCCCAGGCGCGTGAAGCTGTGCACCTGCGCCATGCTCTTCTCCCAGGAAACCGGGTCGCGCACCGTGCAGATGACCTTGGCGTCCGGGTAGAGCGCCATCAGCTCGGGGAGGAGCTGGCATCCCGGGGCGTCGGTGATGGCCGCGTAGCCGTCGAGCTGGTGCTGGAGCAGGCGTTGACATTCCCCCCGCTGCTGCTCCCCGCCAGATAGCCAGCAGCGGAGGATCCGGATCCAGGCTTTCAGCTCGCCCGGTGTCCCGCGGGTGAGTTGCGTGCCGCCGTGGTAGACGGGGCCGTCGAGGAGAATGCTTAACGCTGCGCTGAATGAGGCGGTCCCTGTGCGAGGTAGCCCTGCTCCGATCACTTGGAGCTGTGTTCCTGGTCGCGGTGCTGAGGCCGTTTGACCCATTGTGCTCGGGTTGGCGCTGAAGTGTGGGACGGGGTAGAGGTTGAGGGTAAAACTATGCGGGTGGTGTGAGTGCTGAACCCACTTATAAAATCCTCAAACCCAATGGATTCTGACGCAAGGGGGAGAGGCGGGCTGGCCAGGGGTGTTTTGTCCGTCAGGTTTTTAACCCGCCGTCTCAAGATAGCACGGGCAACGATGTGACCCGTCTGTAACTTCAGCATGACTGACGCAGGTGTGGGTGGGTGATGCCTGCAGAGTTGCGCACAAGGCTAGTCGGTGTAGACTTCGCGAAATGCATTTCCGCGGTATGAAACAGCATCGTTGTCCCTTCTTCTTACCCACTAAAAGTCTTTCCACCGTGGAGGTGAGCCCCATAGCTAGAACATCTACTCGTGACGTTACCCAGCTACTCTCGATCTACAACTTACGATCCAAGTACAATGCCTCGATGGCCCCTCCTCGACCACCCACTATTTTCAATGCACTGTAGAGTAGACTGCGCCCATACTAAGTGAGTAGAAAACCACCTATTCTTCAACAATCCCAGCCACCTTGACTCGCACACGCCATGGCCCATCACTGCCCCGCGGTAGCAATTTGTCCCGCACAAAGCGGACATCCTCCCTCGTAGTCTCGTAGAGTTCCAGATCAAATCGACGAATCACCGTAGCCAAGACATTGTACAGTTCCGCGTAGGCTAGGCTGTCGTGCCACGGAGGGGGAAGGTTAGCCGCTAATGAGAGACACCCGAGAGGGAGTAGATAAACATACTTCATCCCTAGACAGGCCCGATTGCCCCTGCCAAATGTCACCAGATAGCGTAAAAGACCTTCTTTCCGCTCCGCGGCGAGGATCCATCGTTCCGGGTGAAATCTCTCCGGATCGGGGAATAGGGAGGGATCTCTGTGCACGAAGTATGCGATCGTGCTGACAGGTGTCTATGTTGCTTGCATGAGCCAGTGGTCAAGAGGTAGCAAAATGGGTTAGGTACGTCTTACCCCTGGTGGAATGACGCAGTCCTTATACCTCAGTACCTCTATCGGCGAGATCCTCTGTTGCCGCATCACAATTCCGGAAAAGCGGAGAGCTTCATGAATAACTGCTGTCTGCACCACATAAAACAGTCAATTCAATCAGAAAGGGGTCTTTCTTCCCAAGTGGGCCAGAAGGAGTAGCCAGAGTCCGATCATAAAAGGGACAGTACGTACCAAGTATGGCAGCTTCTCCAGCTGGCGCCATGTGACCGGATGGTGCGGAGTGGGCATGATCTGCTTGAGTTCCGTGCGGAGTTTGCTCAAGACCGCTGGATCATTCAGAATATGGAAGATGGCCACAGAGAGCGTCGTCGCCGTCGTCTCGGTGCCAGCGGCAAACAGCACCAATCCCTCATCCTCGAGGCGCTGCAGCGTGCGTTCTTCCGGTGGAACCTCAGGATCAGTGAGAGCATGAAACATGGTGATCGCTTTGGCGGCACCGCCGGGCTCCTGGACGGTGCTTCTCGATTCCAGCGCGGCCAGAGACTGTTCTCGCACCCCCTCCAACAGATCATAGACCCGGGCTCGGGCGGGAAAGACCCGCGCCATGAACCACGAGGGAATCAAGCGTAGAAGAGTGCCCATCAAGGGGAAGAACCGCTGCAGGTGGATCTGGTCGGTCCCCTCCTGAACCACCTTGACGATTCCCTTGCCAATGTTCTCCTCCGCCTGGAGCTCGTAGCTGGTGCCGTATGCATACTGCGTGATGAGGTCGCCGGTCAGCCCCTGCAGTCGGTCGATCAAGTCGAGCACTCTCCCCTCTCTATGGGCAATGGCGAGGGCGTTAAGGAATTGTTGGAGCGACGCCTGGATCGTCAGCTCGATCCCCTCGATCGCCCGTCGCGAGAAGAACGAGGTGAGGATCCGTCGGCGCATGCGATGCGTGTGATGTCCCACGGTGGAGACCATCGCGCCTGGGGCACTGAAGATGTGGACGGACTTGGGATCCTTGTCCCGCATCCCCGTGGCCGGAGCATAGATCTCGTCGTAGAAAGAGGGATCCTTGATGTGCACCTCGCGGGGATTGATTCGCACGATGGGTCCTATCATGACGACGCTGTTGTGTTAGGAAGAGAGGGGCCGTGCACGCCGGGTGAAAAAGCCGATGCTTCCCACGCAAAGGAGATTCACCTTACCATATCTTTGGTGCATCCTTTCGATTTCCCACACGAACATGCCCTCGCGGATGACATCGTAGTAAAATTCATACAGATGGGAGATCGCAGCTAGCTTTGGGCCGGGAATATGATGCAGCGGGTCGAAAAACAGGCGATATATACTGCGCAGAATGAAAGCAACGAGTGTCAGGATCGTGCCACCCAAAGCCACGTGCTCCCTAGTAGGGGTCAAGATCTCAAGCATCGCGACTGAATCTATCCTTTGCCTGTTGATGAGAAGACAGGGAGAGAATGCAGATTTTTATATTACATTTGGTCTCAGCTTGAGGTATATTGGGGGAGTGGCGGTGGTACAGAAGCAACGAGCACTCCACCTCTTCAAGCTGTCAAGGATAAGGCACAGACGGGAGAGCTATTAGCAGGATAAGGTGTCTCACAATGCACTAGGTAGGTAGTGCCAATGACTGCCGACTACAAGTAAGGGGGTGAGTTTTGAGGTGTCAGATTCTGCATGAATGTATGTTAATTAGGGCTCGATGTGACATGGGACCCCCTGGAAAGTCTCCGCATTGCCGGATTCGGAAGATCGACATCGGCCACAATCCAGCCAAGGGTCCAAATGTGGGCCGCTGTCTCCGACACATTTATCCTGGTCACAGGCATAATATAGTACCGGTAGACTGCGTCACAATAGCTGCAAGCCATCTGGAGTCGGTCTTGTCGCACTATCCTCGTGAATTCATCTTCTCTCTGTGGATCGATAGGAAACCTTGCCTGTTCTACTGAACCTTTGTTCAGGACAGTCCAATTTCTGAGATGCAATGCAATTGATGCTAGTCTGAGGAATCATATTCATCGACAAGATGGTTCCCAGAACAGAAAGTATTTGCCGGTCAGACCCTCTTTGGTGCCCTCGAAGCTCTGGCGGCTACGTGTTGCGCTGGGCAGGTAATTTTGAGCCCAATTGAGCCATAGCTGGGTTACTCTGTCAGCCCTGCTAGATTGATGCTCTATAGCTATATCATGTCCTCGATTCGCATAAACATCCAATACATTTAAGCTGTGGCTAGGGCACTGCATCTCCTTCGCCAGCATTAGTCGGCCACCTACCTTTCGGTTTTCCTTTTCATCAATACCTCCTCGAGGCATCTATCTGACACGATGCGTGACAATTCTGTGGTCACATTCATCGAGACGAAGAACCAATGCCTATACGAGAGTTTTGAAAACTCGCATCATCCCACCTATGGACTCGGTACAATGTCCGGCAACATCTACGACACTGCATGGGTCTCACTTGTCAGAAAGCCGAACGAGGGAGGCGCAACATCCTGGGCGTTTCCGGAAGCCTTTTCGACTCTTCTGCAGCTCCAAGAGCTTGATGGTTCTTGGGGTAGTTCTATCGCCAGATTAGATACCATTGCCAACACTTTGGCGGCTCTCCTGGCCCTGCAAAGGCACGCGGCGGATCCAGGGGAGGTCGATGCGCAGGAGCTCAACTCACGGATCCTCAAAGCAAAACGGTTTCTCGATACGGCTTTGCAAGATCTCAACGAGCTGACAGTCACATGCATTCTACCCGTGAGCTTCGAACTGCGACTCCCGGCCATGCTGGACCTGCTGGAGGCAGAGGGCCACACTTTTGACTTCAACCGGACGAACCTCGTCAAGCTGCAGGCAAAGAAACTGTCCAAGATTGATCTGGATCTCATCTTCAGCGGTCCACAGTCCTCCCTTTTGCACTCGTTGGAAGCTCTGGTCGGAAAGATCGACTTCGGTGGGCTAGCCCAGCACAAAGTCCTGGGCAGCATGCTGGGCTCCCCATCTGCGACATCTGCATATCTGATGTATAGCCCCGTATGGGATAACGAGGCCGAGGATTATATACGGCGCGCGATCTCCAACGGCGTGGGTCTGGGATCGGGGCTAGTGGCAGCTGGGTATCCGACCACGGTGTTTGAGTGGGCGTGGGTATGTCGCTTCTCGCCCACAATCATGAGTGCTGATAGAACAAGATACTGATTCAACCAAGGTGACCACAAATCTGCTGCGCAACGGTATTGCGCCCGCCGCTGATCTACAGCGGACTGGCGAGCCGATTGAAGCAGAAATCAAACAACATGGTCTCGTAGGCTTCGGTAGAGTGACCTCCTGGATCGAGGGTAGATTGTCGCCGCAGTGCCCTTTGCTAATGTCTCTGCCTGCCAATAGTCCCCAAAGCATGCCCTGATGCCGATGACACCGCTAAGGCCTTGGTCGCTCTGATGCTCCAAGGAAAGCACTACACACCGCAAGTATTGGTCGATCGATTTGAACGTGAAACTCATTTTGCAACATACTCATACGAGACGCACAAGAGCATCAGCACCAATGCCAACGTCCTCATCGCTCTGGTGCTGCTTTCCACCGATGACCGCTACCAGCCTCAGATTGAGAAGTGTGTTCGCTACCTGTGCGAAGAATGGTTCAAGTGCGATCGGATGCCTCGTGATAAATGGGTACGTCACACAACTGGTTGAGATGCGGAAATCCGAGTTATGATTAACCGAAGGTCTTCTAGAACATCTCATCGTTTTACCCGACAATGCTGATGTGCGAAGCCCTGATGTCTTACCTGCAGCGCTGGAGTGCCGGCGACCTAGCTGCCTTGCCCGATGATCTGATGAAATTCCAAATCCCGATCACGTTGTTCCAGACTGTGATCCGAACGCTCCGCACTCAGAATCAGGACGGGTCCTGGGGCAGCGCAGGCTCTGCGGAAGAGACGGCCTATGGTCTTCTCGTGCTGAAGAGCGTGACATCTTTTAGTTTGACTGAGAGGATCTCCAGCGAGCTCAATGATGCCGTCAGGCGAGGCATTGAGTTTATCCTGTCCAGAGACAAACGCTGCTCGACAGACGATCAGCTTTGGCTAGACAAAACCTTGTATGCCATTCCAACGGTGTCAGACTCGTACATCATGGCAGCCGTGACGGCTGGGGACACTGAGACCCCTAGCAAGAAAGCGGCCGCACTACCATCTCTGCTCGTTGACATTCCGGCTACCACGGTTCGCAAAATGACTGAATTCTTCGCGCGATTGCCGTCACAGATGAAAACGCCACAGTGGGTGGTTGAGGCGTCCGTCGTCGAAGCTCTCCTGTTCAGCTATAAGCTGAAGAGCTTGGATGTATTCTCCACCGGCCACGCTCTTGGCGAGAAATACATCAAGTTCGCTGCCTGCTTTTGGACGTTGGCCAATAATTGCCGCCCTGAGTATCTGTTGAGCATGCGCATCGTTTACAGTATGGTCGAACTTTCCGTTGGGATTTTCCAGGAGGATGACTTGATGGAAAGGGATCTGGTGGCTCTGCCTGACTCGGCCTCTGAGACCATAGCCGAGTACATAGAGCCGCTGTGCCATGGCACAAATGGTCTTTGCCAAGATCACTCTTCTCACGCTAGACCTACCCTTGAAACGAATGGGAAGTCCAGAAGTGTACTCAGCAATGTCCAGCACAACCTGGCTATCTGGTTCCGCTTTGTTCTGGTTGCGAACCTCGCCACGGCCAAGCCAAGTCCTGCTGATCGACGCGATCTGCGACAAGAAGTCAAAATGGCGACGATTGCTGCCATACAGCAAGCCAAAGCGCATAGATCGCTCAGCATCAATACCACAAACGGTCATGATCAGAAACATCCAGACAGCCGCGAGTCTGCCACCACCCCTGTGACGAGCGGCCAGAGCTTTTTCACCTGGCTACACACCTCTGCCGTGCACGACGTTAAGAGTGCAGTGGTCTCCAAGTCCCTGGTGTGTAAGCTTGGGTCCGAAGAAAAGGGGGATGTCTTCCCCACTGCCCGAGAAAAGTACCTGGCCGAGAAGCTGTGGCGGCAGATCTCGGTGGAAGGCAGGCTGTGGAATGACCTGGGTAGCATCGAGCGCGACCGCCGCGCCGCAAACCTCAACTCAGTCGACTTTCCGGAGTTCTCGTCGCCGCAAAGCCTGCAGGCTGACGGAGACGTACAGAAGCAGCTGCGACTGCTGGCAGAGTACGAACACAACTGTACGGTACGATGCCTGGAGGACTTGGTGCAGATCTTGGAGGATTCCGGTCGTCGCCGGCTGTCGCTCTACCTGCAGATGTATTACCTGTGCTGTGAAATCTATTCGGAGACGTGTGTGATGTATCAGTTTGGGTCTACCACGGTGATGTGAAAGGTTCGAAGAAGAAGTCAGATTGTTGGTTCGTATATCATGCCGATCATTGTTGTGACATATTTTATTAGAGTATATCTTAACAATTTCAGGAGGTATGCACGCTGCCTGTGGGTCCTGCCTCATATGACAGATGTCACTGTCTGCTGTTAGGGATCGCCCAGGGGTATGACATGTAGGATTGTACGGGAGCCATGTCTGCAGCATCATCATATTTTCCCCCTTCAGATTCTTGCAGTAACTATTAGTTCAAATTGCTGATCATCGATGACAGGACTTTGATTGAAGCTTCCACCCGATCTGGGTGCAGTTTTGTATTACTAGAACTCACATAGTAGTCACACTCTTTGATGGTCCCTGAGTTGGGAACCATGAATTGAAGATCACATGGTTGTATTCCTACACTATGGAATGTGGCGTGAAGCTTTGAAGTAATAGAGCTTGATCACCGCAGTTAGGTACTGTATGAAAAGCAAAAGGCAAACAATGGATGTTGATCTTAGTGACACCACCGTGTGCGCTGGGGGTGGTAAGGGGCTACCCGAAGTATAAAATCCCACTGCATCACCCTCGAGGTGTCTCTCTACACAAATCATCTCATCACACTCCAAGCCTTCGATTCTTCCACTGCTCTCCAGAAGACAGTTCATCACCAGCAACACACTCATACCTCCACCTTCATCATGCAGTTCTCCTCCATTGTCACCTTCGCTCTGCTGTGCGCTGCAGCCACCGCCTCCTCCCTCAACGCTGGTGCCAATCAGTTGGACAAACGACTCTTCTGCAACGACGCGACATGTAACACCCAGGTATGTCTTGTGGAAATTTCTCTGCCTCGCGTCTATGTCCTGTTCACAAGCATATGCTGATGCGCTTACTATAGTGTCTCAACGCCAATGCCCTTAGTGGGCAATGCGGTGGGACGGAGGACCTGTAAGACCTTCCTTTCCACCCTCTCTCTGGACCCGCTCGATGGGTAGATCTCGCTAGGTTTGAGATACTAATGTTTGGAACTGTGCAGTCGCTGCATCTGCAGTTACAGGGTGCCATTGGCTGACACGAAGGGTGCCGCTGCCCCTGCCGGTCCTGCTGCCCCTGCCGCAGGTCCCTGAGGAATATTGTCTTGGAACAAGGCGTTTGGCGTGGCTATTACATGACACGCCTGCTTCAACTTTTCTCATCTTGGTCACTCGTTCTCATAATTAATAATTAATATCAAATTTGTATCCCTACTTCCACTCCTACCATTCGTGGTGTCCTCTCAAGCATTCAGTAGTCATGCTGTAAATTAGAGAAGTGACTCTGGAGATGCACACCACCTATACCAGCTCCACGGGGATATCACCTCGCAGCCATCACCATCCGGAAATACTAAGCCATAATATATCTCATTCAATCCCGGGTTCCTCCTACAGCCTTACCTTGCCCATCATCTCCGTGACCTCCTCAACCGCATTACTCTGGCTTCAGCGCATTCTTGTTTTCTTTTTTTCTTCAGTGGCGAGCTAGTCAGTCTTTCTGTACTCACTAAGCTCATTTATTTGTATGGTAATCCATCTCAACCTTCTGATTCATTGTGCCTGAGGGTGCCAGGTATGGTGGGAGAGGACTCGTGGTTCGCTACAGGGGCGGGGAAATATATAAGCACTGCCACAAAGAGGCATCCAGACTTCACACCATGCCACAACATATGCCAGTCCTGTCGCGCGATATAGAATGTGAAAAGTGTATCGCGATAGAAGAGTTCTTCCTCAAAAAAACGAGAAAAAAAAAACAAAAATTGCCTTTTTGTTGCAGTAAAGCTCAATACTTGCTAATTTCCAAAGCATCTAATTTTAGCGAAACACAACCTTGATAAAGGGTCTATTGACCCCTCGGCAACTGGCCTATCTCAAAAGAGTCCTCCATCCAATCCAAACTCAAGCGCAGAAGCGTTGATACTCCGTACTAAGACGATCGGCAGTGACACAACCCCAGGTAATGCCATTCGAGTCCCTCATCACCGCCGCCCCAACCTCATAGTCGCAAAGGCTCTTGTCATCCCGCACCGCCTTGATATTGTCAGACATGATCTTCCCGGAAATCGGCTGATTCTTGCCCTGCGCCGCCTGACAGTACATGAGCGCACCACCAAACTGCGGCGTCAGCCGCACCGGCTGGCGGCTGTTGAATTGAGAGAGGGGGGTCTTCGGCGTGACGAGGCGCGTCAGCAGCCTCTGCATGTCGCGGTTCAGCGGACACAGGTGCATGTGGATCTGGTTGTGAGTGATGGAGTGCACGGAATTGACGACCAGGGCCTGCGTCGCGGGGTTCGAGACCGCCAGCGCCGACGACTGCCCGAAATCCCACCCTTCCGCGGCCAGCTTGGGGTGCTCGGCCTCCAGCGCGAGGATATCCGCGACGGGGACCGTGACGGTCGCTAGGTCCCCACCCGGTGTCTTCATCCAGTAGGCCGCGCCGGGCGCCGGGTTTGTGTACTGCTGCACGCAGGTGCCCGTCCGCAGACACGTGCAGAGCGAGTGGAACCACACCCCGCAGGAGGAGCAGACGTGGTTCGTGTCCGCCTGGCAGTGGTGCGCGCAATCGTTGAGGTGGAGTTGCGTGAGGAGGTTGGTGGGGCATGGCGATCCGACGTGGGCAGGGCCCACGGGACACTGCGTGCTGCATTTTTGGTCGCCCTTGACGCACTCGCAGTGGGCTAGGGTGGCTTTGTCGCCTTGCAGGATTTGGGCGTTGGTGCAAGGCGGGAGTTTGGTGCCTGCTTGGGCTGTAGATTCGGTGGGGAGGGTGGTGAGGAGGATGGTGAGAGTGATACTGAAGAGAAAGGCTTGTGAGATCATTTTACCTGGTATGGAAGGTATCCTTGCCATTGACTGGATAAATTGCAGAGAGGGCGGATTAGGCGACAAGGACTGATCATGGTTCTTTATACACACATTACCCCATTGCTCGTATAGTTCTGTTGCTCCATGATCTACGCCAAGCAACCGAACCACGGGCGCGACGGCTTCCGGATCGGGTTTCTTCCTCCGCTATTACGATCAACACGAACATTTACGGCCAGATGACTCGCAGTCCTGCATATAGCACAAGGGATTGACATAGTAGATTCACCTCAAGGTAAACAGCCTCATTAGTCTTGTACGCCTTCACCTCTGGAGTCAAGCACATACGACCACAGGGTGTGGAAAACAGGGCTTCCCGTCCGCTCAGCCGTACTTAAGCCACACGCCGGGAGGTTAGTAGTTGGGTGGGTGACCACCAGCGAATCCCTTCTGTTGTATGTTTTTGTTGAATAAACGTAGGATCCTCTCATCCTATGTCCAGCTTTGAACCTATTCTTATACGCAACCTTTACTGCTTAGATCGGTGCGGAAGTCGGCAATCGAGCGTCGGTATCATACCCTCGTCCCCGGGTAGATCATCGCTAATTCCGCTCCAGTCGCAATACTAGTCCGAGCTTGTTTGACTTCAGCGTTGACGTCGTTACGCCAGCCACGAGCCAGCCACTCAGCTGCCCCATGGGGATGTTGGACAGGGATCAGACAGATCTCAGCGGGTAGGGCTCCTTCCCGACTCGAGCTTTACAACAAAGGAATGTAAGAAGAGAGAGGTGGTGGAATATAGCAATGCTTTCTTTGCGAAATATGACTCAGAACACTCGTCTCGAGATATAACAAGCATACCCAGGTTTAGACAAACACAGATGGATCAATCATCGCAGAAGCAGAATAAGCTAAAAGTCGAACGGGATCATAGTCTCCATTTAACGTGGATCGGCTATCAACAGCTTGACATCCCTTGTTTCACAAAACTGACGAAAATCTCTTACCGGTACCGGATGGTCTTCAATCCAGACAATGGGCCAAAACTCTGGGCATTCCGTGTTGATGGTGAGGTCGAACCTCCGAAGATAGCGCTTGAGAGTACGATCGCGGCGTACCTGCTTGCGTCGCTTGGACTTGCGCATGACCTTTCTCAGGGCCTCGGCATCTGCCCAGCATAGGAAAGGCAGGGGCCCTGCCGAGATCGCTCCTGTGTCGACCTCATATGCGACGTTCTCCATGCGGAGATAGTCTCCGTCCGGTGTCCACTCGGCCCCAGTTTTGACCATCTGATCTTTGGGCAGAATATGCCAATAGGGACCCCAAAGGCACTCGGGGTTCCAGAAGCGGACGATCGAGGTGGGAGGTTGCTGAAGGAGCATCCGCCGCCAGCTTGCCTCGGGGCGCAAGTATGCCCTTTCTCTCTTCTCCGATGCAATAGAGGGGCAGTGCCACGCACCATGTCTCCGACGCGAGTTGAGTCCTACAAAGATGAATTCGAACCATATCTTGTCCATCACCAGAGGGTTCTTCCTTGTTTTGCGACGGGACTTTCTGGTGTCTGTGTCGATGGGAACGTAGAACAGGGCCTGCTGGATTCTGCGAGAGCTTTTGATGAGAGCATTCCATGTAGCACAGACCCGAGCTGAGATCAGCAATGTGTGCATGTCCAGACGCAGAAGAATAGCTTCCACGATTTCGGGGACAAGGAATATATCGGGCGTTCCTAGAGGGCGGGATATCTCATTTTCAGAGTTCTTGAAGCGTTTGCTTCTCCTAAGAGCAGGCATGACTGGTAATTTCAGTGGAGACAGAGGTGTGCGATCCCGCTTGCTAATTGAACAACTTGGAAGATTGGAAGTTTTGCAAGGCAGTTTACGAGAAACTCGGCAGGCTTCGGGATTTGGTTGCAGTTCAGCTTGACTTACAAAGTCAGTGATACTTGACCACTGAGGTCCGAAAAATGACTCACCCTGCCTTAGTTGTTTAGGTTGCAGGCATCATTATCGCGTGCGCGTGTTTGTTTCGTCACTACTCTTGGGAAGGCGGAAGAACATTCCGAAGGGGGGAATGGCGGCAGTCGAAACTTAAATTGGAACCTATGATTTGCATTCCATGACTGCAACAGCTTGCAAGACATACATGATTTTCATTGCGCCCGACCAGCGCACAGTCAAATATCTATATCGAGTGAGGTGGAGATGATTGGAGGTGTTTGGGCTCTCCACCCTCCAGCGCACGTCTTTCCTAGCGGCCTTGGAGACTTCTTGGAGACCCCAGCACCCGGAAAATCCGATTGGTAGGTCAGACGGCTGACTAATTTAATGATTGGTCACACATCCGTAGGCAAAGAAAGAAAGAAAAAGAAAACCAGGTCCCAGAGCTTGGCGAAGTACTGATATAATTAAGAACCAGCAGGCCAGAGAAGTAGAGGAAAGGGCTAGGCATGTGGTTCAGTAAACGGATCTCACAGGTTGGGCGAATAATCGGATCCTGGGATACCTGAGATGGCTTCACGTGACTGTGATGTTGGTAACTGATAATGAACTTAAAAGTATCCATCCTTCTCAGTTACAACCTCGCCGATGTAATCTGCTCGTTTTTGCGAGCAGACCCAAAATGGCTGATTCCGAATCATGTAATGACGTTGATCACTTTGGGCCCCCCCGGACGTTCAGCTAAATTGCCCCACAGACCGAGAACCGTCCAAGGGCATGCGTATCGAACGTGCCTGCGAGTCTTGCCGCTCCAAGAAGGTCAAATGCAACGGAGAGAATCCTTGCCTCCGATGCTGGCAGCACCGCCTGCCCTGCAAGTATCGTGAGAAGCCACGCGTTCGAGGGCGGCCGCCAAAGAGACCTACAGCACGGAAAGGCCCCCCGGCACCCGCGGTGGCAGAAGCCACAACCCCAAGCTTCATCCTCAGCAGCGACAGTGACGGGCGCAGGCTTACAAACGTCAGTCATGGGGGAGATCCAGCTCGATACAGTCCCGAGGAGTATCGGCAGCAACTAGAACTCCGCGCGGGAATCGGAGTCACCAACAGCCAGACAGGCTCCTTTCAATTCTATGGTATTTCCCAGGGTTTACATTAAAAGTAACCCACATGTGTGCTTGACGAGAAACTAGGCGCCGAAAGTCTGACGATCTGTGTAATATTAGGACCTTCTTCACATTTCTGCTTTATCCAGCGCATCCACCAGCGTATGAAGCGCCAGTCCCACGGTCGGCTCTTGGACCAGCCCAAGACAGCAGTGCCGACCGGGCTCGGGGAATGGGGCCTGGAGCGGTTCATGTTCGCCGCCGGATCGGGCGGGCTTCGCTCGTCGGGGGGCTCGACTGAATCATTTCTATCGCAGGAGCTGGGTCGCCGGTTCATCGCCGCTTACTTTGATGTCATTCACCCGCATTTACCCATTCTCGAACGGTCTATCATCGTTCGCCTGTGGGAAAAGCTGTGGGCCCCCCCGGCTCCCGGACGCGAAGTCAGCTCCAGGGATCTAGTCTACATGGTTCTCGCTCTGGGAGCTCGGACAATGGCCCGCGAGAACAGTCACAGTGGGGAGACGCTAGATCGATGGGCGGACTACTTCTGGGCGCAGTCGAACGACTATAGCATGCTATTCCAGGAGCCTTGCATCAAAGGGATTCATTTGATACTTCTTAAGGTAGGCATGGCTTTCGCATACACGTCTCGATCCACATTGGAAGGGTCAGCAGATGACGAGGGCAATGAACGACTGACTTGAATTGAAAACAGGCTATGTATGCATTGCATGGGATGAGGCCCAACGATGCCTATCTCTATCTAGGTCATGCCGCTCGAAGCGTGTTGGCCCTAGGTCTCAACCGCAGCCAGGTTGTCAACGGACTGGCCCCGGTCATGCATAGGCTGCGCATCACATTCTGGGTCGTCTACTTTTACGAGCGGGTCTGTGCCTTCTTCACCGGTCGGCCCTCATGTTTTCTCGACACCCACATTGACGCTGCGTTTCCCGAGGACGTGCCCCGAACGCTCCTGGAAGGTGGCCATATGGGTGACTCGGAGGGTCCCACAACGCAATGCGCCTATTTGAGGTCAATGGCACGGATCGGGCAGCTTATCGAAAAGGTGTCCAGCGGGATCTTCTCACTGGCAAATCTCCAGGCACTATACGACCGTCGCAGGGTCGATGCTACGATTCTGGAGTGCGACGCTGCCCTTCAACAAATCGAACACAGCCTGCCTCCGTATCTGCAATTCTCCGATCGCAATCGACCCACTGGCGAAGCGTGGCAGGAGATCCAGTGTACCCATCTGGGGATGGCCTTTCACCTGATCAAAATGATGATCCGTAGACCTGCTCTGGTGTACGCGAGCTTCTGCCACAGCCCGGATGGGACATCGGGGGCGGGTTCGCCTACGCAGGAGGACCTGCAAGAATCCATCGACTTGTCAATTCATTCCGCCAAGGAGATCATTGCGATCGCAAGTAGTGCTATCATGGAGAGAGCCACGTGCATTCGCAATGATGCATCCGTGGCCAACTACATCGTCTCCGCCTGCGTGACTCTCTTGTACAATGTGTTGGATTCGTCCGTTACCGTGGAACATGCGCGGATGATCTTCGAGTCCGTGGAACGTGGTATCCAGTGCCTGGACCAGATGGAACATAATGGACCAATCACCGGCAAGGCGCTGAGCATGGACATCATGAAAAGTGCCAAGGATGCCCTGTCGCTCTCGACCCGCGAGGCAAATCTGGAGGAGAACATGGCGGACAATTTCCCCTGGCTGAAGTAAGTGATTGCCTTTTACTCAAACCCGCCCCAGAGACTTATATTGATCGCATGGTATTCAAAGTGAGGTTTACCTCCCGGCACCAACAGGAGAATTGTTGGATCCTCTCGACGAACCGTTAAGCTATATTCCTGGCATGGGAACGCCCTCACTCGAACAGATTGCCGAGGGGAATGATTTTCTCTCCACCAGCATTTCGGGCATCAATTATATGTCTTATTGGCTGAATGGAGATGCCACAGGGTCGAATCGCGCCGACTTTCTGTACTGACAAATGGATGGACGGGGGGGGTCACCTCCAAGACGGTCCACGTTCAATGCGCTGGATCATTGCCCTTTTGGGTAATACCCGAGAGATCTCGGCACGATTGATCTCCACACCAGGGGTTTGTAGCAACCCTCCACAAATCGGAGCCATGCTTTCTATCCGAGTATTTTCGGCTCATTAGCAACCGACCTTCACTTGTCTACCGAGCTCGTCATGAAGATTGTACCTCTCCATGACATGTCATCGCCTCCATGTAGCCTGTAGCCAGTAGCAGGTTTCCGTGCCATATTTGTCATCGTTGCCATGAGTCTGCCGTATCTCAACCTCAACCCAGTAGAATTACAGAGCCTCTATAAATTGATCCTGAGCTCATCATGGACCTTGGTCTATATTGCAGCCTGTTAATTCTATCCGTATCTTCGGTCTTACTATTTAGCTATCTCGTTAGCGAAGCTCAGTTAAACAAGCATCAGGCCTGACCCGGCCCAGCGATTTATGGTAAGTGTTGGTTTTGAAATGCGGTTCCCTCAACCAAAAGACCAAAAGCCACATGTCACTGATGTGCCCAAAAGGAGAAACCAGTCACCGGAGGCGAGCCCACCGCGGTATCTCCTATCTATCGCAAGGATGGTCGAGCGCTTGGCGTGGTATTCAAAGACCTCACGGTCTTGGGGGTTGCCAGCGGGGTCAACGGAATCATGACTTTGCCAGCGCTGGTGACCAAGGTTGTGCAATGGCCCGTCAAAGCCATTGCACATGCGACCGGCAAGCAATCTACACCAACGAGAAAGCTCATTCGCGATGTCAGTGGGGTGATCTTTCCTGGGGAGTCGATGCTCGTGCTGGGACGGCCGGGCGCCGGGTGCACTACCCTGCTGAAGACCCTCGCCAACAGCCACGGTTCGTTCGTTAAAGTTCAAGGCCAGCTGCAGTATGCTACTCTCTCCAAAGAGGAGATGGCACGTCGTTACCGATCGGAAACCGTCTATGCCAGTGAGGAAGACTTTCATTTCCCCACTCTGTCCGTTAAAAACACCATGGGCTTTGCCTTCCAGCTGCGCAAGCCGGCAAACGAAACTCGGTCGGACTCCGAGTTTGCCCACGAAATGAGCGAGGCTTCATTGAAGGCTGTCGGACTGTCTCACACTGCCAACACGATTGTGGGCGATGCCTTCGTGAGAGGGGTTTCTGGCGGAGAGCGCAAGCGTGTGACTTTGATCGAAGCCCTATCGGTCAACCCTACCTTTGCCGCCTGGGACAATCCCACCCGCGGCCTGGACAGTTCCTCCGCCACAGAGTTTGTGCAGCTTATCACCTACCTCTCAGCAGAATCTGGGATGAGTAACGCCGTATCCATGTATCAAGTGTCTGAGACCATCTATGAATGTTTCGATCGGGTTACCGTGCTGTACGACGGCCGGCTGATCTTCTGCGGCCGAGCCGAGCAAGCCAAAGACTACTTCCTGAGACTGGGCTTCGAGTGCCGCGATCGCCAGACCACCCCGGATTTCCTGACCGCCGTCACCTCCCCTGCAGAGCGTCTTATTCGAAAGAATGCGGCGGGACCGGTGCCCACCGATCCCGATGGCCTCGCCGCCGCATTCCGGGACAGCGCGGAGTATCGTCAGTTACAAGAGGATATTGTCCGGTATCAGGCGGAAATGGCCCGCGATGGCCAGCGGGTCCAAGCCTTCCGGGACAATGTGCACCAAATCCGTTCGTCGTGGGTGCCACAGCAGGCGATCGCGCCAAGCACGCTGGCCAAGCAAATCCGGGTTGCCATGCGTCGGTATTACCAGCTGCTGTGGGGCGACAAGTGGACGTTTCTCACCCTGGTTGCCTTTGTCGCCCTCAACGCGGTGATCAACGGCCCGGCGTACTACAAGGCTCCGAAGGACGTCACCGGCACGTACGAGAAGAGCAGCGCCTTGTTCTTCTCCCTGATCTATTTCTATCTCAATGCCCTGACGGAGGCCGTCTCCACGGTCAAATCGCGTAACATCCTGTTGAAACAGGTCCAATATGGGTTTATCCATCCAGGCGCGTTCGTCATCGCCCAGACCCTTGCCGATATTCCGATCGCCTTCATTCAGTGTCTCCTGTTTGCCTGTCTGTATTACTTCGAGATCGGCCTTCAACAGACAGCGTCCACTTTCTGGATCTTTGTCCTGCTTGTCTTCACTCATTATGCGGCTGTTCAAAGCCTGTTCCGCATGCTCGGCGCCTGGGTCCCCAACATCTCGCTGACCCTGATGATGGCCGGCAGCGCGATCCCTGTTGGTCTCCTGTATTCGGGGTTCGGTCCGACCCGGCCTACCCAGCGACGATGGGGTTCATGGCTGCGCCGCGCCTCGCCGTCGCCATACGCGCTGGAAGCATTGCTGGCCAATGAGTTGGATGGAATCACCCTGACTTGTGCCGACAGCGACATGGTTCCGTCCGGGTCGAACTACACCCAGTTGCAGTACCAGACCTGCAGTATCACCGGGAGTACCATGGGACATCAATCAGTCTCTGGCTCAGTGTATCTGGCGGATCACTTTGGCTACACGCGTAGCCACCTGTGGCGCAACTTCGGCATCATCCTGGTCATGTGGTTCCTCTATGTGGTACTGGGATGCATTGGACTCACCATCATGACGCGCGAGTCGGGAGGATCTCACGGTCGGATCTTCAAACGGTCCAAGCAACGCGATGAGGAAAACCAGCCCAAGTCCCCGGCCACCTCCTCCTCGGGGTCCTCGTCCGCCACACAGTCGGTCACCGGACCCCCCGCATCCCATGCACTGGAGAAAGTCGAGACTGGCCATTCGAGAGAGGCAGCCCGCACATTCACCTTCCAGGAGGTCAGCTACTTTGTTCCAGTGGCCAGGAAGGAAAGACAGTTGCTCCGCGATGTGAGCGGGTATGCTCGCCCGGGGCAGTTGACAGCCCTAATGGGGGCTTCCGGCGCCGGGAAGACAACGTTGCTGGACACCCTCGCCCAACGCAAGAACACCGGTCGGATCACGGGGGCTATGCGTCTCGGTGGAGCGCCCCTGGACCCGTCCTTTGCCCGGTCTTGCGGATTCGTAATGCAGCAAGATGTGCACGAACCCAATGCCACGGTGCGGGAAGCTCTGCAGTTCTCCGCGCGTCTGCGCCAGCCCGCTGATGTCGCGGAGGAGGATAAGTTGGCTTACGTTGAGCACATCATCCACTTGCTGGACCTGGAAGAGCTTGCCGATGCGCTCATTGGCGAGCCCGGAGATGGGCAGCTCAGCGTTGAGGAACGGAAGCGCGTCACAATCGGGGTGGAGCTGGCGGCGCGCCCCAGCTCGCTCCTGTTTCTCGACGAGCCCACTTCGGGCTTGGACAGTCAAGCGGCCTTTGCGCTCGTGCAGTTCCTGCAGCGGATCGCTGCCGAAGGGATTCCCATTGTCTGCACCATCCACCAGCCGTCCGGGGTTCTCTTCGAGATGTTCGACCATGTCCTGCTCCTGGCGCCGGGAGGCCAGACCGTTTACTTTGGCAAGACCGGCGAGAACTCGTCCCAAGTCGTCGAGTATTTCGGACGATACGGCGCCACGATCGATAGCAAGGCGAACCCCGCGGAGTTTATCCTGTCGACTGTGACCTCCAAGGGGGAGGGCTCGAAGGACTGGCCCGCCATCTGGCGCGAGTCTCCGGAACGCAGCGCCCTCGACGCGACCCTCGTTCGATTGAACGCCACTCCCACCACCACCGAGCCACCGTATCCTCGAACCCCCTCTTCCTCCCAAACAGCATACGCCCTATCACTCTGGTCGCAAACCGTGACCGTAACTCAGCGCCACTGGCTCTCCGTCTGGCGCGACGGGATGTACCTGTTCAGCAAGACGGCGAAAAGCCTGTTCGTCTCCCTCTTCATCGCCTTCAGCTTCTTCCAAGCCGGATCCAGCCTGCAGGGCCTGCAGAACCAGATGATCGCGGTCCTGCTGCTGTCGTGGATCATCCCCACCACGAGCGCCGACCTGCAGGACATGTGGTTCCGCAAATGGGCGATCTTCAGCGCGCGCGAGCAGAACGGCATCTACGACTGGCGGGCGCTGGTGACCGCGCTCGTCGCCGTCGAGATCCCCTGGCAGCTGGGGATCTACACAGTGGTGTTTCTGGGGACCTACTGGACGGTGGGGTTCCCCGCGGGCGTCTCCGCCGTCGCCGGCCTCTACTACTTCACCTGGCTGCTCCTCGCCCTGTTCAGTGTCGGCTACTCCCAGCTGCTGGCCGCCTGCTTCCCCGACCCCACCCTGGCCGGCTACGCCAACTCCCTCGTCTGGGTCGTCCTCATGGTCTGCTCCGGCGTCCTCACCCCCCACGCCTACATGAACGACTTCTACCGTCCCTGGCTGTTCTGGGTCGACCCCATGCGCTACTTCTTCGGCGCTACCGTCGGGGTCGTCCTGCATGATGTCCCTGTAGACTGTGGCTCTGCGGAACTCGTTCGCTTTGAGCCTCCTCCTGGTCTGTCCTGCGGCCAGTATGTGGGTCCCAGCAGCGGGGGACAGCTGTATCTGGATCACAACCCGGGCTACCTGGTTAACCCCAATGCGACCGCGGACTGTGGATATTGTCCGTACACGGTTGGAGACGAGTATCTGTCAACCCTGGAGTATGGGTACGACCAGCGGTGGTGGAATTGGGCGGCCTTTCTGGGGTTCTGCTGCTCGAATATCGTGCTCTTGTATGGTGTGGTGTGGCTTACCAAGGGACGGGG